TTGACTAATTCTATTGAAATAGCTTCTGAAGGCAAAATAGAAGCTTTAGGACTGACTACATTCTCTTTATCATGTTTCGGTTCCACATGATCTTCAAAATCTGCAGCAGCACCAAAATGATCTGATCCCTCAAAATCCCTCCTCAGACATGTTCGCATCCTTGTAGAACTTTCCATGTGATCTAGCTTCCAAAAAATCTATAAAATATAGTTTTAGATATGTAAAACTTACATGAGAAAGCAATTAGAAAGATAATTAAGGCCATGGCCATGAACATACTCGCTCAGGATTGTAAAGATTTTCACTGATGGGCCCAAAGAGACATTTTGTTTCTATCAAGTAATGGATGAGTTTCCGCCAGGCGCGTATGCCAGTGAGTGCACGATGCCTAGCAATGGAATCAACTTGAGCACGTCTATCAACCTGAAAAATATGATTCAGATTAGATTCCTAAGCTGTTCATTATAGTATCCTACTTTCATTTCTTCCTATTACAACATCCTACTTTAAAATTTTAACCAATTATAGCAATGTCATCCAAATAGAAAACAATTTTCACTGCTATAATCAGGTAAATGTCCTAATAACAAACAAAAAAAAAATTGATGTACAATGCTATAATTTAAAGATTTGTAAAATACAATGCCTTGATAAGAAAAAGACTGTAAGTATAATATTGTTGCATTTAGCCCTATGTTGTAATCTATTTTGGTTCCAACTTTGAAGTACTCATCCAAGATCATTGGTGGAAGCTATATGTTTCAAAGATCATTGTGCTCAGTGCTCAACTATATATATGTTTCTTACAATTAACGGGGTGCATCATCATTTTTTAGGGTTCAAAGCAAGAAACAGCAACGTACTATCAATTATTTGTTTATTATAGCATCCTAGTTTCATTTTTCTAATACAAGCTTTTTCTTACTTTCAATGGTATTCTTATGCGGACATAGTGCTTTGAAAACTTTACCTCCGATCGTTGCAAGTTTCTTGCTAGAGCTAAGCTTCCAACTAAAACTGCAATAAATTTATACGAAAGAGCATTCAGATCTTTCTTATAAACTGGTTTGTTGTCAGCAGATGGCAAACATTCCATCCAAGCAGTTCCCATTGCTTCAGAAACATTCCATCTCTTTACACGATCCATATCACTTCTATTCCGTCTTTGTGCAGCTGTAGCCATTGCAACAGCACTCAGACCTCTTCCAGAACCAATCTTTGCATTGCGTTCAAGATCACGAGCAGCAGCTAGTGCTGCTGCTTTTGCAGCAGCCTTGTCTTTTACAGATGATGATGATGATGATGATGACGACGACTTGTTAGCTGCCTCCATTGGTTCTCGAAAGCTAGAAAAAGATTGAAGTCTAACTGGCTTTCTATCGACTACAGAAGAGTCACGTTTTAGATGATGCACGGCTGTTGCAGGAGTAGCAGCTTCACCTCCACCAGCACCTGCAGCAATCATTGCTAGAGCCAATGCAGCAGGTGGAGATGCAAAAGCAGCAGCCCATCCAGGCGAGATCATAGCAAGAGCACCCTGATTGCATGACTTCAAGTGTTAAAAGTTTTGGCAAATATGATGACATTGTACAAGTAGAAAGTAAATAAACATTTATTTATTATCAGGAAAATTAACAAGATGATTTCACTTTGCTTCTGATTTGGTCATTGGACTTTGAAAACTATTGAGTTAACCGCTTAACTTTTCCAAATTGGTTATTGGGAAATTTACAAACAAACAAAAAAAAAACAATATATCTTGTAGTTTTGCTGTTTAACCGGTATATTTTATTTTTTCCAATGAAACCATATAAGTTTCAAACATTTTTTCAAACTAACCATTTTGAGCAGCTATATCAGCTTTCACCAATATTTTTGTTGGTAATTTCTAAAGTAACAATTTTGTCCTGTTATATCATGTCAAAATGGTTAATTTGGAAAAATGTCTGGAATTTTTATTGTTTGATATGAATATTAAGAGTATAAGTGATTAAAACATAAAAATGCCCAAAATATAATGGTTCTTCTGTAATTTACCCTTGAATATTCTGGATCATTTAGAAAAAGAACCATGTAACATGCTGACAAGTTGAACAGTTTTTATAACAGTTTCGCAAAGTTGCGTTATTTTTACAACATTTATCTAAAAGTGGATGGTTTCAGAAACTATTTTTAAAAGTCCAGTGACCAAATTAAATGAAATGAGAGTGTGTGTTACTATTTATTGCAATTTGCATTTAGGTATCGAACAGAGAAAACCAAGAGACCAACTACATGTTGCTGATATGGAAATTGTTTAATGAAGCCATGGAATTTAAAACCCCTAGTATTAATAACAAAAGTTTATAATCAGCCAATTTAGTAAATTTCACCTCTATAGGCAGTGCATCAGCAGCTAAGGCTGGGTCATCGACAGCCAGAGGATTCAAACCATCGGTGGCAACAAGCTCATGAATTCCAGCTAAATAAGGTCGCCATCTCCTTAAAATAGAAACAAAGGGAGGCAAAATAGCTTCTAGATACTGTTTTCTGAGAGGGACCCTGTCCCTGCTAACCGCATGCCACACCTACGAATGCATTTCATAAGATAACAAGACAAGGATAAAAGATTGCTCCCTCTGTCCCATGAAAACCAAGTTAAAATTACTTATTTACCCCTCCCCAATCATTACAAGGAAATGGTGCTGTTGATTTCGGTCCACTAGAAATTTTTATTTTCTCCTTAGCGAAAGGTGCTTGAGATATTTGATAACTAGTCAAACGTTTTCTTAAACAATGTGCCAAGTCAATGATTGCGGTTTTCACAGGAAGGGAAGCGTATAAGGAACAATTTAGGAGAAAAAAAAAGTTAAAAGAATTTCTATATGTTTGAAAAAACCTCGGAATATAAGACGGAAGATGCAACCAACACTCTCTGTCGCTTGGACTCGGAAATTGGCATGTTCAAGAGGGGTGAAAGCACGCTGTTCATCATCAATGAAAAAGTTAGTTCACCCATCAAAGCCTCAAAATGACTTACGAAAATATATACACAAAGAATAACTAGAATGAGCATTGAGCAAAGAGAAAATTGAACTTATTGAAGCTTCATTAAATCAAGATGATTTATAAAAGAGCAAATTGCAGAAAACAGCAACATACTTTACTCTTTTTACCAATATAGGCAATGTACTTTATTTTTTACTCATAATAACAATATACTTGCATTTATTTACCGATAATAGCAACTACTTACATTTTGTACTGATAATAGCAATAGTGACTCATCAAATTAATGTACTTGCATTTTCTTTACACATATTAGCAACGCGCTTGCATTTTCTTTTTTACCGATAATAGCAATATGTAACAAATAAACTGCAATACCCATAATGGTAGCAAAATGTAAGTACATTGCTATTATGAGTAAAAACTAAAATACATAGCCCATATTGGTATAGCATTATAGCAATAGTAAAGTACGTTGCTATTCTCAGCAATTTCCCTTTATAAAATAGGCATACCTCCACAATAACACAGAACGGGGCTGCCTCATTGATGTCCGTGGACTATTTTCTAATGATGATGGAACAATCTTATCTTCAAGCGACCCTTCATCAACACTAAGATTCCTTGTAAGCATATTACTTTCACCATCATCTTCTTCCCTCATGGAAACAAGTATCATCCGAAGCATACACAAGAAAGGTTGGTCACTATCCAACAACTGATAAAGAGCCGCCATGCCTCCCATCCCTGTACCAGAACCTCCTCCAATACCAAGACCACCACCAAGTCCAGACTCATCCAACAACAAAGCTTGTAGCATGGAAACACACTTATTTATTAAAGGGAGTTCAATCAGTTACCATTTGAATCTTTTTCCAAAGAAGAGTTCCAGGCGTCCCACCCACTGCCACCACCACCAAAGTCGGAAGCTTTTGAAGGAAGACCGACTCCATACCATAATCTACTTCTGTATTTCCAACCTTCTGCTAAGTCTACAGCACAGCTGCCATATGATACAAACGCGCAAGAAACTGAGTCATAGGGTTCAGCTGCTGCTGCAGCTGTAAGCCGTTCCATTACTGTTGCTGAGATTTGCCCCTTGGTGTCGGCCATAGACGCAAGCACCTTTTCAGAATAACAACACTGATTTAGAACTAAGGGTTTGTCTGGTATAATGGAATGGAATATTACACTACTTTATCATGTTTGGTTCGGTGTAAGGAATGGAATAAATCATTCGAACATGTTGTTTGTTATATACTTATATGTAATTTAAAAACTAAATGGAAGTAAAATGATAGATAAAGGAAAATGTTATTTTTTTATATAAACATATTTCATGTCGTGTCGTTTGAAATATATACTATATGCATCGAATGGTCACTTTATTTATAACTTTAAAAAACTGTTTACAAAAGTAAAAATTTTAATTAAATTAAATACCATGAAATCTTAAAATAGAATGATAATAAAAAAAAATATTTATCAAAAATGATTAAATTGGAGTTTTGAAATTTTTAAAAAATATAATTGTTATTGAAGATCATATAAATAAAAGTAATTATTAATTAAAATATCACTCCATTCCTTCAAGGAATGAAAAAAAATAATAATAAAATAACACCCTTCCCCCATGGAACGAAAATCAGCTCATGAGAAGGAATCACATTCTGTGAGGAATGTTCCGTTCCATTCCATTCCTTTGTGGCAAACAAACATGTTTTTTCCATTCCGTTCCCCTTTGATTACATTACAGTATACCAAACACTGCCTAAGGGAGGAGGGAGTCGTTCCCTCCCTACCCACCGAACCCACTGTCACATTAATTTTTGTCTCTTCTTTTTCTTCATCTTTCCCAACCCACAACACACGGAAATCCTATCTTTTTGAACCCACTCAATTAATAAAAATACAAAACAACTAAGGTACAAGTTTTAAAACACATGGTACAAGAGAAAATAAGAAAGAGAAAGTAGAGAGAGATGATGATGTGGGTTAGTGAAACCAATCAACCCACTCGTTGAAGCAGGAGTGGTACCGCCGATAACTATATTGCTAATTAAGATTTTACATTTGATTGTTTTGTATTTTTTTTTAATTGAGTGGGTTGAGTGGGTTCAAAAAGATACGGTTTCCGTGTGTTGTGGGTTCGGAAAGATGAAGAAAAATAAAAGAGAAAAAGTGATGTGGCAGTGGGTTGGGAGGGAATGACTCCCTCCTCCCTAAGGGGTAACATGTTAACGAAAATGGAATGACACATCAGCATGGTAACCATGGAAGTAAGTGCAAACGTACATCAAGGGGAAGAGTTCTAGAGTCATTAGAAGACGCCCGTGCTTCAAGTGGTTCTGGGATTGTGGGGAGATTTGTGCTGTTACCAACACGAACCACAGATGGAAGAGAAGAGCCAGAACCCCCTTGAACGAGGGAAAAACTAAAAAGCTTGCTTTGTAGGCGTAAATGATCTTCAACAAGCATTAACACCACAATTGCATTCTCAACCAAAGCCACAGAAAGTTGAGCAGCATTCTCTGCTTCTGCCTTAGAAACCTCTGGTGGTAATCCATAAGCAGCAACACCAGCAGCTGCTGCAGCAATCACTTGAGTCTGCAAGGGAGGAAGGAAAATATAAATATTAGAGTCAATTACAAACTTAGTCCCTGTGTTTTACTCAAAATCACAAGTTCAGTTCAAATTTTGAAGTCATTTTATATGTGTCAGGAACCATATCCGCAATGAAATGCAAACTTGAGGACGAGATGGGGACAATTTCAAAATTTTGCAATTTTAGGTATAGCATAAGGACCAAATCTGTAATTTACTCTAAATGTTAAGATGTAGAAGGTCTACCTGAGTCTGCAGCTCCCTAGCAGCAAAGTCCAGCAACCCACATAAGAGCCTTCTTTTAAAGATGGGCAATGATTCCTCACGTCTGTCAAATTAACCAATATTAGAGAAGTTAATTAAATGAAGCAGCATTACATATAGTCAGTAGTCATATGTAAAAGTGTATGTGTGTGTTTGTAGTGAATGGAATGGTATACCTTTTGCGCTGTTCTCCTGTGCTAGATCCACCTACCATAGAAAGCCACTCTGCACAATGAATTGTAGCTTCAATATCCTGTCAAAGGGAAGTATGACCAAACAATATAAATGAACTGATAGTGATTGAAAGTTCAGACTACACATGCTTCAATCAACTTTGGCAATAAAGGGAAACAAGAAGGGGGTGTAGTTTAATAAAAATATTTGACTAAAAGCCAAATACCAAAAATACTCCTTAAGAAGACAAAATGGAGAATACATATGGACCAAAAACAATATCATCATGAACATCTTGTAATAATAGTTAATGGGAAAAGATGTAAATTTGGGAATGGATAAAAGAAAAATTATGTAAATTCAGAAAGGTATCAAAGAAAGCTTATAAAAGAAAACTTATGGACCACAATCAATATCACTGATATCTACCTTCCATCCGTCCTTCTGACGCATGGAATGCTCTAACATGATAACGAGGAAACTGTGTACAAGGTCTTCAACATCTCTGAAGCTTGAAGACATTGAAGCGTTCTTCCCAGACGTCTGTAGGAACAAGCATGCATATATATCATTTAAAATGAAATGAAAAATGAAGTGCATAATCTTTTAGAGGAACAAGTTCCAAATTTACTATACTTGTATCAGTTGCAAGAAAAAATAAATTCGGGTGGTGATAGTTAATATTTAATATAATGTCACCCTCGTAATTAGAAATAAGAATTTCCAAGATCCATTCAGGCCATTCATCCATCTTAGTGAGCCTGTTTCTATTTTCAGCATGACTGCAAGCCAAAATCAGAAGATCCTGAAATCAAAAGGAGAAGTAAATATACAAAATAGATTTTTCAGGGACAAGGGTATAAATGGAAACAGCAGTACCTGTAATGCGCGACATTGAAAAGTCTTTGGTGCATGTGGAAGTGAACTCAAAAGAACCACCAGAAGCTGTGAGTGCTCAAAGCGATGTTGTGAGTCATAGAAGTTCAGTCCCTCATCTGTTGTGGATGCATTTAACTGGTACAAAAAGATATTCTTTTTTAGTTTGTTAAAAGGAGAAAAAAAATTCATAGATACAATACTGAATATGAAGTCATACCGAGGCGCCCAATAAAGCCAGGTAGGCATTGTTAGTCATAAGCCTGTTAGGCGCTGCCTGAAAAGCCCTTTGCAAAGCATAACGTAGAAGTGAAACTTTATCTTCAAACATGGTACCCCCTCCCTCAAGCAACCGATGCATGCCACGTGTCATATCATTAGAAGCTTGAGATCCGGACTTTAGATGTCCAGAAATAACTAAAGCACCAAATAGCCCAATTATTGCAACGACAATACCATCACTTTTGTCAACATTGTACACATTGTTCCTTGCATTGTCAGCACTGATGGAAAAATTTATACCACCCAAAATCTTTTTTAACTGACTCTCAGAGACTGAGGACTTGCTTTCGATTCTAGACCCTATGAGAATGGTATTGACACTGGTATGAGTCTGAGGTTCATTAGATGACAATTCATCATTATTGCTATTTTCCAAACCATCGCCACCATTGGCTTTAGATTCTTCATCATTGACCAAAGGGTCTGGTAATGGTACGTCATAATCTCCAGCTTTTGCTTCCCGTTGCAATAGGACAAGAAGTGTTTCTATGCCACCACATGAGATAAATGCTTCTGCAAATGTTTGAGCTCTAGAAGCTTTTGGTTGTACTACCAACCTATATATCAAGTGCAATGCCCTTGCAACCTAAAAAAAAAAAACAAATATTAGAATGTTTTTCACTTGATATTATTCTCTTCAAAACTAGAGTACATTACAAAAATGGTCTATGTGCTTTCTGATGTTTACCGTGTTTAGTCCAAAGTTGATGCATTTTTCATTTTTGGTTCTAATTTCAAGGTTTCATATCGATTTTAGTCTTTATTTTCAAGGTTCCAAGGACTGAAACTGAAGAAGAATTCAATTTTTGACTAAACACGGTAAAAATAGAAAGCACAAGAGCCATTTTGTAATTTACTCATAAAATTATGTTGTACATTATAATATTATTACCTGATTTGGTTGTGGAGAATCAACCAGGAAGCCGAGTAGACAACGAATATCGTCCACGGCCATTGAAGGAGGAGCGGCCCCCACAAGAAGTTCAATAAGCACTAAAAGCTCATCAACTAAAGCATTCACTTCACCAACCGGACGTGTGGCTCCATTAATAGATATAGTATTTACAGAATCCTTTTCACGAATTGTCCAATAACATCTCCTGCATCCATCAAGAAGAGTCTGAATAGCTTTTGCATCACGCATCACAGAAGCCTCTGTGAATGCCATATCAGCTAAAGAAGACAAAAGCTTCTTCTGTAACCCGTAGCTACATAAACTCCAAATTTTCAAATCCAGTAAAAGTGTACTGAAAAGCTGCACTTTTAAGTGCATGATTATTCTTCTGGGATTGACATAAAGAAACAATTGCTGCAACGATTTCCTCATCACCCACTCCATGCTTGGAACAATCAAGTGATGATAAAGTTTGTAGAAGATAGGTTAAGATAACTGACAAAACCTCTGGCCCTTTAGTACGACACAGCTCGTTATTGTTACCTGGATGTTGAATTGCAAGTGACATAATCCTAAATATTGGTGCAGCAAGAGCAGTTGTGGCTACTGACAAAGCAAGATCGCCCTTTTGTAACTCCAAACTTTTATTATCAACTTTGCTTACTACAAATGGAAGTAAAGACATTGGACCCCCATATGCTAAAGCCCATAAAGCTTCTGCAGGCCGCATCCTTGTAGCTACATGTACTTGCCCAAGCACCTCAGCAGGTCGTCTGAGCATTCCTGAAACAAAAACAAGTATCTTTTCAGGCACCAAAATTACGTTTTTGCCCTTAGTAATCGTTACAATATAAGAAATTTTATAAAACCTGCAGCGCCAGAAGGTGAAGCATCGGGGCAGAAACGACCACTTAGTAGACTAGGATGGTATAGAAGGTGCAGGCAGCCTGCAATGTCTGCATCTAAACGTGCACTTTCTTCTGAAACCTTTTGCACATGAGAAAATGTCGATAACCATGGTGAACCTGCAGCATTACCAAATGATGGAAGTGCATCTCCACCTCTAGAAGCCAACTGGCCCATCCTCTCCGGCCCAATTGGTTCTTTAAAGATATACACGGGTCCCATCTCAGCAAACAAAGGGCATTGACGCCTTCGTCTCTGCAAACCAGCCATTGTTGGTGGTGGATTTGTCCCAATGCAGCAAAACGCAAGTGGCTTAGAGATTCGAGGGAACTCAAAAGGACGACTTTCATACAAGGTTCCATCAATGTACAATCTCAGTTCACTTTCTGCCTTACCAAGTAACCCTTGTTTGGAAGTATGCTCAAGACCAATAAAATACCAACATTGTGGCTTAAATGCATGGGTAAAATGTAAAGAGGCCTTCCTACCCTTCCCACTACCACTTTCAACCACCAAAAACTGAGCGTGAAAATACGCTTCCATTCCCTGATTATCAGCAGATAAGAAACTGAAAAGCCGAGGCATGTGTGCCATGCCTTCACCCGCTAGTGCACTGGCTGCAGCAGCTGCAGACACAGCTGATGATTTCCCTGATTTAGCTGCTGCTGCTGCAGCAATGGCTCAGCAGCAGTAGCTGTGTTTAAAGTGTCTGCAAATGATTCGATATAAATCCAAGTCGCGAACGCGTACCCATTAGGGAAAGGCCAACGGCTCTCTCCTGGACCAAGTAAACCAGAGCTTTCACCATCAAATTCAAATGAAGACATTGGACCCCTTGACTCTTTGCTGCCCAAAGCCCTCTCCATACAAAGCATTAATCGAGCTGCCCATGGAGTGTTGATTGTTCTTGTAATTGTGGAAAACCACTTGTTCAGATCCGTTACACTAAGGGAATGTCCAGCTAAGTATTGGATACAGGAACATAACGGAGTTCCATCCCATTTCAATTGCTTACTTGAATCATCAAGAAAAATCTTCTCAGCTGACTGCAAAAGGACCCCTAGCAAACCTGATGAACAACACATAGCTCTGTTTCTTGTACAAGCTTGCAAAATAGCAAGCAATCCACGAACCATACGTGTTCTTGGGGACATGAAACCGACAGTATCTGATAACCATGGAAGCCAAGGAATAAGCTCGCCTGATACCACAGCAGCTCTGGAGTTCAACATGACACTAGGTGGGTTATTATCCTCATCTTCCTCAAAAGATTCAACGCCACCCATTGTGGCAAGAAGTGAATCAACCACTAATAACGCGATGCTTTCTGCCTCTTCCCCATCCCCAAAGCTTTCTACACCGCTTACTATGTTCTTCAAGCTCTCCATGCTTTCTGCCTTCCCCATGATAACAGAATCCACCAAATGCAAAAGCTCAGGTGAAACATTTGGCATGGGTTTTGGTTTAGGTTTTGGAGGTGAGTGCCCATGATCCCCATATGCATATAAAGGGGAATCATAACTGGTTCGAGCAGATGATTGCTCAGAGAGCTGAGGTGATTTTCCCCCTGATCCACGGCTTGAGACATTACTATCCTGGTGTACTTGAACAGCTGCCAGTGAAGAATCATCCTCCATTGTTCCCCTTTTAATGGAAACTCCAGATGTCTCCCCATTTCCACCAGATGAGGTCCTTAGATTATCCAGATCCGCAACAATCTTCTCTTTATCTAATGATACCTGCTCAAACATGCCCTCATCTACATATCCACTTTCAGAATCAACCCTTCCCACAACATCTGCAATGTTTATATTAACAGTACCGATTTCTGAATCAGATGTCTCCACTCTTAAATCCGCCCCACTGCCTCCACCTACTTCAGGAAGTGAATCACCACAAGAAATTTCTACGTGTTCTAGTTTTTCTTCTTCTTCTTCCATAATATTACGGCTATTAGTTGTCAATTAACAAATCCTTATCAGTCACCTGAAAGAAGAGTCGATCACAGTCACTTACAGAGATCGAAAAGACATTTCAAATAACGAACTCCAGTAATCACTTCAATCCAGGTTATTTGCAAGTGAAATTCACACATGGGATCTGAATAAAGTCCAAAGACTAGTTATAAATGTTCTAATTCGAGATCTAAAGCGATGCAGACACTAATTCACACACATTTTAGAAAATCAGAACTTACTTCTCATCTTAAAACCATCAAATGAACTAAAAACAATGACGATATCAAAAAGCATTTTCAAGTTTCAGCCATGGCACTAAATACGCATTTGAGATTTACATTGGCACATGAGTCTCTTCGAATTTTCGCATGGACTACTGGAAAAAGGAGAGTAGAAACCAAAAAAATTACCTAATTTTCTTAAAAGCTGATCAAGTGTTTTGCAGTGAGATCGCTATCAATGTTGAGCAATAATGACTGTGTAGATCTATACAGTGTTTTAATGCTGACGATTGGTATAAATCGTGAATATTTCGAGGGTTTTTCTACTTCAAAATATCACTTCCACGGAGATACGGAAGAACACCGGATGAAATAGAGGAGGAAGAATAACCTGATTCCGGCGATGTTAATACGACCGAGTTTAGAGGATTGTCGACCAGCCCGCGTTTGTGTTTGGGGCTGCAATATGTATTTTGGCCCCTGTACTATGCTTGGGTGTTTATTTGGGTAATTTTTATTAATATATACATATAAAGAAGCCCCTTATGAACAATATATCTAACCCAATACTATTCATGGGGTTAGTTAGTCCACCAGGGTCACCATCTTGATTGATCGTCTTATCATTCCAATACCTTCCATCGTTCTTTCTCCTCTCTCAAACACACAACAATTAACTATCTCGTCTTCTACCGCCTCTTTGCTCTGCTCCGGTGTCTCTGCCTTACATAACATGTTTCAGGTTGTGTGATTCCGATGGAAAGAGATACGATTGAAGTGACGATTAAGGTATGAGGGTGGTTTGTAGACGATGTAGCAAGACCATGATAATTTTTTCGGTCTTAGCCCTAATTTATTGTTTTGTTTTCAATTTTGGAATCGGAACACAGTCGTCGCCCATGATCAACGTCGGATAATCACTAACACCTTCAAGACCATATTTTTCTACGTAGATTAAACTCTGGACTACACAACGACTTCTTACTTCTTTCTCTCTCGCCAAAAACCGGTGCCAGAAGGAATCAATTGTACCTCTGCCTCCGCTTGCTTTAGCTTCTATCATGTGCTTCCAACCATAAACATGCGTTGCTTGCAGTTGCCATCACCAACGTCTAATGTCTGTAGGTATTCTCTGCTATCTGTCAAAAAAAATAAGGGAAGCCCAAGTTAAGGTAATTTTAAGGTCATGTGCTATTGAATAATCATATTACCTGAACAATATAATGATTTATTCATCTCCCAAAAGCCCTAATATTTTTGAATTTGATGGTTTGTTGTTTTCGATTTTGGGATTAATCCCTCACTGTGGGTTGCAGGACCGGACCAAGAACATGATTTAGAGGTCTCCTAGTTATGAATACTCGCCTATGGTTATTGATTTTAACCCAAAGAAAAAGGAAGATGATATAGTTGTCACTATTTTCTCGTTTAATATCTCAAATCAGGTAATATGTCGATACTTTCTTCAATTTTCCTTTCTCAATCTCCTTAATTCTTATTATTCATTCTTCATGTTATGTTGCATATTTTGATTCAATCACAATACTTTTGAGATTTTTGTGCTAATAAATCTTTAGTTTATGTAGATTGTTAGGTAGGATGCAGGAGATAGATATATAAAAGATGTTGACTATTAATATTAGTTCTTTCAAGATTTTGGTTAGTTTATCTTGATTCTATCATTTTTAATCAGCTTTTTTGCTACCACTATGTTGATTATTGTAATCAAGAATAGATTAAGGGTGAAAATACTTTTTTGATTGTCTACTTTACAAGGAAGCGGTACAAGACTATAAATAGAGGTATGACCCCTATACAAAGGAAACCCTATGGGCCCATGTGCTAACTAGGCCAAAACCAATATACGTAATATTTACATTCTAACACTCCCCCTCAAGATGGATCATAGATGTTAATCATGCCCAGCTTGTTACAAATAGCAAAGATCCACGAACCAGGTAAAGCTTTGGTGGAGACATCAGCTAGTTGACTTCCTGATCGAACATGGGGAGTAGAGACGGTTCCAAATTCTAGTTTTCTCGTGTGAAATGGCAGTCTCCTTCGATATGTTTAGTCTTTTCGTGAAACACAAGATTGTTTGAAATATAGATAGTCGCCTCATTATCACAGTACAAGTTCATTGGTTTCGATTGAGCAAAACCAAGTTCATCCAGTAGATTTCGTACCCATATTAGTTCACATGTAGTCTGAGTCATAGCTCGGTATTCAGATTCAACACTTGACCGTGACACGACATTTTGTTTCTTACTTTTCCATGAAACTAGTTTCCCTCCAACAAATACACAATAACCTGTAGTAGACCGCCTAGTTGTAGGATCTTCATTGTAGTCAACATCAGTGAACCCTTCGATGACATGATGACCATGATTTTGATATAAGATGTCATGAGCAGGAGCACCCTTTAGGTACTTCAAAATATGACTAATTGCATCCTAATGAGTGGTTGATGGAGATGACATAAACTGAGTTACAACACTCACCGGAAAAGCAATGTTTGGACGTGTAATCATCAGGTAGTTTAATTTTCCTACAATTCTTTTGTATTTCTTTGGGTTCTCAAGTGGATCTCCTTCATTTGCTTTCAATTTCATATTTGGAACCATTGGAGACTCTCAAGGTTTTGGTTCCAACAATCCAACCATGGTCTCACATGATAAAAGGACTAAGAATCATTTTTAGCAAATAACTAGAGGTCTAGGACTTAACCAAAATGATTAAAAACATGTAGGAACAAGAAATCCCTTGATATGTTCAGTTTTGGAAGTTCACGAGTATTTTTGAGGTGATTCCTTTGGTTCCAACAGCCTACATTCGATCTAAAGTATTAAGGGGCTAAGAAAGAAATTAAGAGGGTTTAAAACCCATAAAAACTGTAACGACCGTCACTTGAGGTAATGATTATTAAATATTTCTTAATTAATTGTTGGGCTAAGTGTTGTTAGAAGGACCAAAATGAGTGGACTTGTAACGCCCGGTACCCGGTACATATTTTAAATTTACAGACTTTATGTTTTTACACTGGGACTCGGCGAGTTGGAGGCCCAACTCGTCGAGTAGACAAGACTTTGGACGCGGGTTTTAAGTAACCTACTCGACGAGTCGAGAGCCCGACTCGGCGAGTAGGACTGTCTGGATGAAATCCTAGTATTTAGGGTTTGCACCCTATTTAAACAACTTATCTTGACTCAACCTAGCCTCCATCGTCCGTCCCTACTAAGAGAAACCCTAAATCGAAACCCTAACCTTGTTTGAGTGTTCTTGAGCCATTTTTGTGTGTTTGTGGTGATTGTGAAGCTTGAGAAGGAAGAAGGAGCTTGGAAGTTCGAGTGGAAGCTAGTAGATCCAGAGGTTGTGCCCCATTTCCAGATCACTTGAGGTATAAAGCTGAAACCTTGACCATCTAACTCTTAGATCTCTAGTTAGGGCTCATTTCTACCCTTTTCTAAGCTTTGTAAGGCCATATTTGGGATTAGGTGTGTATCATGGAGTTACACTTCGGATCTGGAACCATTGAGGGTTCCCATGGAATAAAGGTGCCAACTTTATGGCCATGGGAAGCCCATGCATCTTATAAACCCATTTTATAGCCTTTTGAGCCAAAAACCCCATGCATGGACATCAAGTTCGTAGCTTTACGTATAAAATGGACCTTAAGAGGTCAGATCTATGATTTGTATGCATTAAGACCCACTGAAATCGACTGTATAGTTTTGGACAAAGAGGGACTCGACGAGTCGTTCATGGGACTCGGCGAGTCGGGTCACAGTTTCCCCCAAACGTCTTCTGGAAATGGTCATTGGTTGAGTTGAAGGAAAACTCAGCATGTTGGGGTTTGTTATGGACTTGAAGATCGAAGGACTGGACGAGTGCAAGGAGGAACTCGGCGAGTTCAAGGCAATGTCCCAACCACATGAAGACGGACTCGACGAGTTCAAGGAGAACTCGGCGAGTCATAGACTAAACACCTTCATGCGGATGAAGATGAACTAGGCGAGTCAGTTGAAGAAGGTCCCGGTATTTTGTTGAAGGCGAACTCGTTGAGCTCTTGCTAGGGACTCGACGAGTTGATGGACCAACTCGGCGAGTCTAGTCAACAAGATGTTGACTTTGACCAAAGTTGACTTTGACCAGGGTTTTGACCTTGACTTTGACTTGGACTTGAGTTGACCCTTGTAAGGGTTATGAGTATGAAGTGGTAATTTAGAAAGGTTGTTGTGTAGGGATTGAGGAGTTGGGAAGAGTTGATTTCCATACCGAGGACAGTGCATACACTACACGACATCGATGTGAGTTACCTTCCAGTAGTAGTGGGTCTACAGCCACAACGCCGACCCACTAGTAAGAGTTGGTTGATAGATGATTGTCTTCGTGATAATTATCTAGGTTTGCTACTACCGATACGTGTTATGTGTTATGAAGGGTCCAGTTAGTGGTTTGGTCTAGGCTTTCAATTGTAATAGTTCTTTTGAGTCTTTATGATGTAATAGTAGGTTATTTTGGTGTTTACGGCCGTAAACCCCTTTACGGCCGTAAACCCTGTTTCCGGCCCAAGTCTCCTATAAATAGAGGTTGTGTAGGTCATTATTGGTTGTTGATGCTAGAGAGTTCACGGTCGCTGTAAACAAGTTGTACCCGACGTTTTTCAGTTATAAAGCGTGTGCAAGCTTGTTTCTATTCTACTTCTACTCCAATTCTTGTTCTCTTTGATTGTTTGATTGTTTGATCACTGGTAAGATCCGTTTTCAGGACCTTACAATTGGTATCAGAGCAAAACCGGTGTCAAAGCATCATTCAATCGAGTTTTCGGACCGTTTAAACTAATATTCATCATTGTTCGAGATTGGATTTGGTACTTTCACTGCTAAAAGGGATCGAATCTGATAAAATTCGTGTTTACATAATTTTTTGGGAGTTTACTGCCAAGTGATTACAACCGTAAACTCAGTTTACAGCCGTAAACTCAAGAATCTTCAAAGACCGTAAACTTTGTTCTTGGACCGTAAACAGAGCATCTTCAATAATCGAAAACTCATCTTCAAAGACCATAATCAGTGCATCTTTATTGACCGTAAACTACTAGACCGGAAATCCGACCGTAAACTCAGTTTACGGACGTAAACTATCTGATCGGAAACTCATTTTTGACATTCTTCTTGTTTTAATTTTTGATTTAAAATTTAATAATCAATGGATTCTCAAAGTCAAACACATCATCATGAACTGGATTCTGTCATGGGGACAACCACACGTATTCCAAGACTGATGTCTGCAGATGGTTTTCCTGAATGGAAATACCGGATTGAGAAGTATATTAAAATGAAAGACTTCAAACTTTGGAGAAGCATCATCAAGGGTCCTGTCCGAATTACCATCATTGTTGCAGGACAAGTGATTGACAAAGCAGTTGAAAACTATACAGATGAAGATTTTGAGAAAGTTGAAGAACAGGAAAGAGCTTTGGCCACTCTGACCATGGCTTTATCTCCTGATATAGATCAAGGTTTCAGAGAGTATACTTCAGCTAAAGCTTTGTGGGAAGCCTTGATTGAGGTGTATTATAATATGATCTGATTATTTTAGTGTCTACAACAAATTAACTCCTGGAACAGATATGCCACTGTATATTCCATTCAAGTATTCATCAATACAAAGATTGCTTTTCAATTAAAAAAATCAATAAAAATTCATATCAACGACTAAACTTAAATAGCAACATAAAACCATCGATAGTTATCGTTTTCTTATTTTATACATTTACTTATTAATTAAACCCGCTAATCATATATATATATATATATATATATATATATATATATATATATATATATATATATCATGCTAACATTGTTAAAAGTTATATGAAACCAATACCATGATCACAACAAGAGCTAAAACAACAAATACAATTATTTAAAAACCATCAAAGTTTAATCGGAATGGCCATGAGTGGTACTTTTCTTGGCAATGTGAGTCCAAACTTCTCCTCCATATCCATATCTTGTGCTCTTATATTTCCATCAAGTTTCCAATCAAACTTATGAATCAAAGACCCCAACATTATATGCAACATTCTATGAGCAATATTTAATCCCGGGCAGATCCTCCTGCCCGAACCAAATGGAATGAACTCATAATCTTGGCCTTTATAGTCAACCTTGACTTCCAAAAACCTTTCTGGTATGAACATTTCTGGTTCTGACCAAATGTTAGGGTCACGCCCCATAGCCCAAACATTACAAAGGATTTGTGCATTTTTAGGCACGATGTAACCTTGGACTTCTACATTGTCTATGGCTTGGTGAGGGACAAGAAAAGGGGCAGGTGGATGAAGTCGAAGAGTTTCTTTTATTACTGCTTGTAAGTAAGGGAGTTGTGAGATATCTTTTTCCTGTATATTTCTCCTTTTGTTTTGCATGATTTTAACGATTTCTGACCGGGCCATTTCCATTTTCTCTGGGTTACGAATAAGCTCCGCCATTCCCCATTCTAATGTGCTCGATGTTGTATCGGTTCCAGCTATAAACAAAGCCTACAATAATTTATGAAATGAATCATACGTATGCCTATTCTCATGAAAAGTTATTTGTCCAAGAATTAGTGCACAAAAGAGAAAAACGCAAACTACTTTCACAAATAACCATTAAACTAAAGGCATTTTGTGAACAAAAAGTTCCACCCTATGATAGTATTTCTTTAAAACAATGACGTTATATAGAAAAGCAATACTTCATTGCCCTTTATGGAATTAATCATTAATATAATATCCAGAAAATAACTAGATACTTTCAATATATCAATTAAACAACTAAACTATTTTATTTGTATCAACATAAAATAGAACGTGTTTTCACTAGTATATATATACGTGTTTAACCATTTATGTATTTTTTAAAGTACTTTATGCTTTAATTATACTACGAAGTCTTGTTAAATCAATAACATGCATGATAAAAGAAGAATTCATTTCTTACTTCAACTTTTTGTGCTTCAAATAAAACCAAATCGTTTTCAAATTTCAAGTACTTTTTAACCAAACACTTTAATTCATAACCTCTAATTATGGTTTGACATATTAAATTTATGAGAAATTTATACCCTACATTACATATCATTAAGAATTCGTTTTCATGTTCAAAAAAACAAAACAATTACTATGACTAAGTTGTAGTAGTTGTAAAAAGATTTACTTACAAAGAACAGATGCCTCATGTCCTCTCGACTAAAGACTGATTCATCTTCGTGTACGAGGTTGAGCAGCGAGTCCAAAACATCATTATTTGTTGATAATGAACTTACTCTTGATTGCAAACGTTGGTCAACTATCCTATCGATGATAGTCAACAACTTTTTCCCATAAACATTTCCTTGACTCACTAATCCTTGTGGATCAAACGGTTTTAGTATCGGAAAAAAGTCTGCTAGATTTGGCCTCCCTCCAAAGTTCAATAACGCCATCACTGCTTCCTTGAATTCTTGTGATGATTCAGTATCATATTCAGCAAAATCCACAGAGAATATTAAGTTGGAAAGAATGTTAAGTGTTGTTGTAAAGAAAGCAGCACCAATATTAACAGTCTTTTCATTTCTACAACATTCATGGACATGGTCAACAAGTTCTTGTACCTAAGCATAAATCATAATCAATTGAAATTGATAATATATTGGATTACTCAAAATTGTAAGAGAGATTAAAAAGATTCAAAATCAAACACATAGTTGAAAACATTTACCTTCTCCCCACGAAGGAGTTGAGTAGCATCTAAACATTGCACAGAGAAGAAAAACTCTCTGGTTATTCGTCGTAGTCTACGCCATTGATCTCCGGTGGGCAGCCAAGCTATGGAGTACTTATCGTGGTCCATTATTCTGGCAGTGTACGGAATCGTCCGGCTAGAAAACGATATATCATGAGTGTGAAAGAACTCTTTGGCGAAATCAGGTGACGAAACAACTATCGTTGTTCTGCTTCCAAGCTTAAGCGACATCAAAGGACCATAACGTTTTGAGAGTGTGGCGATAGAGCGGTGGGGTTTGTCGCTGAGTTTTAACAGGTTTCCGATGATCGGAAAAGGGTAAGGTCCCGGCGGTAGCCGCGAGTTGCGGCGGCCGGAGGTGGTGAAGGCGTAGATGAATGTGAAAAGGAAAGAGAGTAAGAGAAAGAAGGTTGGATAGTCCATAGGTTTATGTGTGTGTACGTGGTGTGTAATGCGAATGCCTGATCTTATTGGGGAGTCCTGTTGATAATGCCAGCTAATTTTGTCCTTATGTATCTAAAAATGGGTAGTACTCTTTATGGAAATAATTTGGATTTTCATATAAAATTCTTTATTATATTATATTATACTTACAATTAAATCATAAAAAGCTTAGCTACAATAGTATTTTTTTTAGCCGTAGTAACTTTTCCGGCTGGCTTCTTACGTTTTATAGGCTTCTCAGTTTTTCACCGGCTTGCTTAATTTTTTACCGTTTCTTTGGTTTCCGGCTGGTTTGCCCTGCAAAACTGTGGGTCATCGGAGGTATACCACCGCCAACATCGATTTGTGTTCACCGCTGCTTCATCCGATCTGCTTACTTCCTTTCTCATGCTTTCCAGACTTCCTCTACTATGCTTTACTTCCGTCGCTCGATTCCTCCTTCATTTCCCCTACAGTGAAACTCTTCGTCGCCTTCTGATGTTATGTTCCATCTCGCCTCCCTCTCTATTCGATTAGGGCTCGACTTCCTCTCTTAATCAGGTAACAACATTTTCAAATTGTGTAATTTTTTCAATTTCAAGGTTAGTTTTGGATGAAATTCGATTTTTAATCATGGCTTAATTTTCGATTTCAACAGGTACAACACAAGTAATTTTGAGTTTCTTACTTCCCATTTATCGTTGTTGGTTGCAGCCTCAAATCTTTTTTGGAAACGGCAAATGATTAAACAACGAGCACCCGGGGTTCGAGCTCCGGGCAAACCCAGCCCATAGGGGTTTCCCCATATGTGGGAGGCACCCAAATTGGGTTTTGCAGGGATTGAACTCCCTACCCCAACGTTCTCCTCCACCATCCCCTGTTTACGGACCCTAATCCGGGTAACCCTTCGTTCGTGTTTTCTTCTCCCTCCACGCCTACTGTCTGTTCTAAAGATGCATAAATTGGTGTGAAATCAAAATCAGAGACGATAATGGAAACTGCAATCATCTATCATTCTTCGGGAAAGGTAACCACTTTTTTTTGTTAATTTTGTAATGTTTTTCATAATTTTAGTTTTTCATCACATTTGGTGTGTCAATGAGTTATTTGCCTGTGAACTAACTACGATGATTTTGGTGTTTGTTGCTGCATTAGAGTTACAGTTTTACATGGAATGTGGGAAAGAAGTACAGTTAAAGGTAATGTTCATATTTTTTTTACTTCATTGGTCTTTAGAAGTTTGATTTTGCTCAGCTGGCCATCACCACTGGTTTCACCAACAATCACACCTATCTTTGTAGGTTGAACAACTGAATAAAAAACAGATGAATTGACTTTCCAATCTTTTTTCTGTTTTATTTTGTATAAATGATGGTACGTATGGAAAAGGAATAGAGAACAGAATAGGATCGACACCAGCAAGCTGTGCTATGGGTGTAGCCCATGTGAAGCCACCTTATCTATCCTCAATTTCCATTTTAACATGCAACCTTATATATTTAATCTCATGAATTCGTAAATAAATAACCAGATGGCCTAAAAACTCCATTTCTTTTGTCTATCGTCGTATGCATTGATTTTGTTTGTTTTTCATGGATAACATCTGCACTGCTGGGACAAAAATTCATTATAGGTTGAGAAGCTAATAAGAGATTTCAGAAACCATGAGGCTTATTCAGGTGATTGTTTTATCACTTGTTGTTGATTCAAACCCAGTTTTCTATAATCCTATTTGTTTAGGTTGATAAATATAATATTTTCTCTTCCTTCACTGATGATGGTTTTTTTCGTTTCATGACCTTCCTGTCATGTGGAGCAAAAAAAATTCAGATTTTAAAACATTTAGAACGTCATAGTTGCTAAAAATTAATGATCATTTTCCCATTCATAATTCAACAGAGTACAAGAGAAGGTGAAATCCTATCACTAAAAGATATCAAAATCAAAGGCTCAAGTTTCTGAAAGACTATGCACTTTAATCCATCCATCAGGTTCTAAGATTTCATACTTATTTCATATATTTTTTTATATGATCTTGATTTTATATGCTTTAAGTTTCTTATGCTGGCTTTTCTGCTCACAGGTGACATAAGGTACACATTCGTCTAACTAAAGTATAAGTTTATATATCTAATTGAGATGGTGATGATTACATTGCTTCACAATGTTTTCATATATTTTTTTGTCGTTTTTTGACTAGCTTATAAGAAAAACTAATTGTAGGAGGTAAAATGGTTGAATGAGATAAGTCAAAGTTGTGTAGTATATTAAAATTTTTGTTACATCATAAATGTGTTTCAAATATAATAACTTCTATAGTATGTGAAGTGTTGGTTTATACTATATGAAAGTTTTTGTTTAAAGGATCTTTCTCATCAGTTATTATTATTATTAATTTTAAATTTGTTAAATGTTATGTTCTTTTTCAGGCTGATAACGATGATACTGAACCAGAAGATGAGGAAGAGGCTGATGAAAACGATGTTAAGGTAATTATGATGAAATAGCATCATGCTTTTATTCATTTGTTTATTATAGCAATTATAGCCCCTTTTGAAAGGGCAATACTGTAATAAATAAATAAACGAAAGTATATTGCTATTTATTGCATATGTCCTTTTTGTCTAAACACCACCAATTCTCGTTCTTCTTTTTGTATTTATGTATGCATGGTGAGCTATAGAGAAGGCTATTTTCAGCTGTTAGAGTTTAAGATTTTTTTTTTTTTTTTTTTTTTTTTCTATTTACTTTTTAGTTGAGTTTCTAGGACTTTTTTAATAGAGATTATAAACAATTGGAAATGTAATGCAGATGAGATTTTCTTAACCCTGAATTGAGAATTCCATTGGTCTCTATTAACTACAGGAATTTTATTGGAATCTGTTGTGGTGGATTGGAATTGGAATTGAATGGAATGGAATGGAAACACGGTTGATTACTATCTTACTTACACACACTAAATAAAAAAACAAACACCATTCCAACCCATGTAAAGCATGGGCACATACACTAGTTTACATTATATCATTTAATTTTTGTAGTTTATAATTTGCACAAACATGATTTTAATGCATTAGTTTAACATACTAGAAATATATAACAACATACTCTAAAATATTTTTTAGAGTAAATTACAGGAATGGTCTCTATGGTTTGGGGTAATTTACGTGTTTGGTCCATAACTTATTTTTTTAACTCGGAAGGTCACTACTGTTTGTTTTTGTTACGTGCTTGGTCTTTGTCTTACCAAAAAGGACTATTATGCCCTTATTTAAATAAATTAAAATAGTCTTTTTAGGTAAGATAAGGTGAGGTAGGGGTGGGGTTGGGGTGTGTTTATTTAAATAAATTAAAAAATCAAAGGCAAAATAGTCTTTTGAGGGTAAGACAGGGATCAAGTGCGCAACAAAAACAAACAACAGGGACCTTCCAAGTTAAAAAAATAAGTTAGGGACCAAACGCGCAAATTACCCCAAACCATAAGTACCATTTGTGTAATTTAGTCTATTTTTTACAAAAGAAAGGGTAAATTTTACCCATCTTTCATGGTGCAAGTGGCAAGTGTCAAAATGTATGTTTGGTCTCTATTTTCAAAAATTAACTTGATACTCTCATTTGTTTTATACTTGCACGCTTCATCTCGAAAAGACGAATTTCTTGCGCTTTTAGTCTGTTCTAGATTTAAAATGACCGTAATGTCATTTTCTATTTATTTTTCAATTAATCTAATAACATTTATCATTATTTTTAATTTAAAAAGAAATGGGTTCCACTTCCACCACCCTATCTACTTTCGCATCACCCACCCAAGTCAACACCAAACACCACCGTCACCTCCCAAACTCCGACAACAGCCACCTCCCCTATGATGTCAAAATCCTGTCTCCGGAGGTTCATTTAAATTCAGAAACAAAAAGCTCATGAGATCTTTCAACGTTTTCGTCATTCCTGAGGTTGAAACCTACTTTTCTGACAATGAAAACCTAGCTCGCACCTGTGTGATCCTCGCAATCGATGACGTTGTTGCAATTATAGATCTAGTGAAGGCATCACCACCGGAGGTACATCCGGCCTTCCATCCGACACCCTCTCCACAGTCGGAATCGAAGCCCCACAATCGGATCTACACCTTTATCGCCTCCTTTTTCACCTGTACGCTGCCATCGATTCTTCTCCGATCTTCTTCTCTCTAGTAAGTGGTAACCCTTACTCCGACGACGAAATAAGGTTTGGATTTCAACCTTCCGATGGTGACGACGATATAGGGTTTGTTTCGAACCTCCATAGCACCTTCTATTCCTCTGGCGGTGTTAGTGTTGACTGATGGTGGTGTTGTTTATCCATCTGTGGTTGTCAGATCTATGGAGAGGAACACCAAAGGGTGAGAAAGAGGGAGACGAACCCGGGGTATGGATTGACGATATTTTAGATATAAGGTATGTGTTTTATTTTAGGGTTTATATTTAGGTTTCTTTTTTATTTTCGAGAGGAATGGTGGTGTTTGCGGAGGTAGTTACTGGCCGGAGGTCACAGGTAGCCGGAGGTCGTTGGTGGCGAGAAGTGATTGTGGTCGGAGGTGGTTGATGATTAAAGGGGTTGGATGGAAAATTTCCTTTTCTAAAATTTATAATTAATAAAAAATAATGGGTAAATTATAAACAATTCAAAAATAAATGAAAAAGAAAAAGAAAATGGTAAGATAGTCATTTTATGTCCACTAGGGATGTAACGTGCATATTTTAACGATACAAGGGACAACCCGAGTTCATTTTTGAATATATGAACTAAATATGCATTTTAATACATACACGCGGGACGAATGATATAATTTACCATAAAAAAATGAGTTTTTATCTGTTTTCATGTCCCTATACGAATGGATTATGATGAGCCTTTTTTTAGAGTTTGGATGCGTTTTACTTTCTAGTGATATAGAAACGACACACTATATTAAATTTATATTGCTACAAATATTAGAATATTCATATATATTTTAAATAAAAATATAAAAAAGTTTTACAAGTAAATTGATCAAAATTCATTACACTTAAAT